ATAATCGTGTTTGTTCATAACAACACATATGTTGTTTTTGTCAGCCTTTTTAATTACAATATCGTTGCGATTTCGTAATTGGTTGAGCGCTCTTCTCTCACGTTGAGATAAATTATGTGAGCATTTTTTTATTTGAATTGAGGAAAGTTCAAGTTTAGTTTTATCGAAATAGGTTTCAAGTGCACCTATAATCTTAGGTGGTTCATATCCACTCTTAGTATAGAAAGGATGAATTTCATCGTCATTAGTCTTGAAATTGAACTTACATCTCATTTTACGTGCGAGTTCATCAAAATCTTTCAGTAAGTCGTTTTTAGCTACTTTTGTCGCTTATACCCTTTTGAATCCATGGCTAACTATTTCAATGATATTTTCTGAAATAGGGAAACAGTTTGATTCCTCTTTACCGGAAGTAGAACAACTTAAACCGCCATGTTCATTTAGAATTCCAGAAATCATAATTGAATTTATTGCAAATGAAATTGTTAAAATGTCATCTTCGAAAGCCACGGGTATTGATGGTTTGTCTGTAAAACTTTTAAAGATGTCTTTTAATCAAATAGGTGATATATTACATTTTATATTTAATGAATGTATATCATCATGTACATTTGTTGATGCATGAAAAAGAGCAAGAGTAGTTCCATTGTACAAGGCAGGTGATGAAAATCTAGTAAACAATTACAGATCCGTATCTATTTTGCCAATCGTTAGCAAAATCATTGAGCGTCATATGTTTTTAATTTTTTTTTTTTTTTGAATATTTATCAAAGAACAAACTAATAAATGAAAGTCAATCAGGTTTTCGGCTAGGTCACTCATGTGAAACAGCACTAGACAATCTAGCAGATAAATGGTTTAAAAACATGGAGGACGGTAAACTTACTGGAGTTCTGTTTATTGACCTGAGTAAGGCCTTTGATACAGTCAATCATAAAGTTCTTTTTTTTTCATTTTTATCTTTTAAATCGTAAGCAATGTGTCAGTTGGCGAGGTGCTCTGTCTCGAGAAAAAGAAATATCTTTAGGTGTCCCTCAAGGGTCAATTTAAGGACCGTTATTTTTTTATTTGATATATCAATGACTACTCAAAATGTCTTAAACATTCGTAAGACACAATGTACGCAGACGACACCTCGTAGGATGTAAGCGATAAATGCATAGACGTTATTGAGAAAAAAAACTTTAAGAAGATTTAGAGTTAGGAATTCAATGGATGATAAAAAAAAAATAAGCTCAGTATAAATCTCCAAAAAAACGCAGTGCATGCTTATTGGCACATCCAAAAGGTTACAAAAATGTAGAAATCTTATCATAAATTTTAATGATGTTCAAATTGAATTTGTGAAGCAGGCCAAATTACTTGGTGTTTATATTGATAATACCTTATCTTGGGATGTTCATGTTGACTTTATTTCAAAGAAAATTTTAAGAAAACTTGCTGTGCTTAAGAGAGTGAGTCATTTTATGCCACCGAATGCTTTAATTAAGGTTTTTAATAGCATTGTATTTCCACATTTTACTTACTGTTTCACTGTTTGGTGCAATGTGAAAAATCAAATGTTTTTAGAAAAAATGTACAAACTTCAAAAGAGGGCAGCTAGGATACTCTTAAACATTCGAGATATTTTAACTCCTACTACCTTTTTATTTTCCTGTTTAAACTGGATGCCAATCAAGGATTATTTTATGTTTAGACAGGTCATTTTTCTATATTTAAGGTTTTAAACAATCAAATGCCAGATTATTTGAATGTGTTTCAATATACAAGAGATGTCAATTGTCGCCAAACCAGGTCGAATGATTTTATGTCAAACATATTGTATTTACCACGAGCCAAAACAGAAAATTATAAACGTTCTTTTAGATATTCATCTGCATTTTTATGGAACAAACTGTCAGAAAATGTTCGAAATTCTAGGTCAGTGGATATGTTTAAATCTGTGTATCTCGCTGAGTATTTAAACAGACCCAATACTTAAAATGGATTTTCCCCAATGTGTGAGTGCATAAAAGATATGCTTCTTCATGTTTATACATGTATATGTTGTATTTTTTATATCTTGTGTTTATATTAAGATGTTAATTTTGTATATCCTTATGTGATTGTAAATATGTTTTAATGCAGGACCACAATGAAAACTTGCTTTATGCTAATTGTGTTATCATGGATAAATAAAGGTTATTATTATTATTATTACTTTAGTATTTTAGCATGTAGGTCACAGTCAAGGTTAATAGGTCATTGACTTTGATGTCGTTTGTAAGAACGTTTTTTATTGAAGAATGCATGCTAAATATGAAATCTCTATTTCTCTTGGTTCAAAAGTTATGGCGAAGGTTTAAGTTGTCAACAGACAAACAAACAAAAAGACATAACAAAAGCAATATGCGACCCCGATCTGCCGATCCGGACACATAAAAAGAGTTTTTTCAACTTTGTTCCCTGTTACATATAATTTAGCTTATGGCATGAAAAAAATACAATGAATGAACAAGATTCGTGTGTGAAACACTATGCACCCGGCAACAACAAAGTTCGAAAAAGCTATTTTAACATAAATGTCACAGTCAAGGTCACAAGATCATCGATCTCGGTGCATTTAAGGGAATTAATTAGTGGAGCAATTAAACAATCTTGAATAAGTAAGCTAAAATAAAGTTCTCGCGTATAAAAGTGATTTACAGTACTTTTATACCAGACTGGTTTAAGTACAAAGAAGAACTATATGCTGTTGCAAGTATCAGCATAATCAAACCAGAAGGCATCCCTTCAAAGATTACGTGACTTCTGATTTTCAACCTTAGGGAAAAAAAACATTTTCTAATTTTTTTTCTAAGATATATATATATATATATATATATATATATATATATATATATATATATATATATATATATATATATATATATATATATATAAAGCACTGAAAATGACCAACGACACGAACAATTGTTCGTGTCGTTGGTCATTTTTAGTGCTTTATATAAATTTCCATCCGTGACCTTGTATATACTTGGTAGATTCGACATTCAGGATATACAGTGTTGTTGGGTTTTTTTTAGTGCTTGACAGGCCTTTTGATTTAATCTCAAGGGCTTCAAGGGATGTTTCCGTTCATGTTACTGACAGTGTCATTGTTTTGGACCCCAGCATTTAGTTAAAGTGACAAATATATAAGTATTCATTTATATATAACTTTTTAGTCACAGTGCATTTGAACTGTATTTACAGCTACATAAACATGTTTATGATGTTTCATTATTTTGCTTTATGAAAGTTCTTATAAATTTGCTAACGGTACTACTTAGCATTTGATAATGGTTAGTAATAATAGGTATGGAATGATGTACAATCTAATCTGTATGTGGATTGATGAAGAAGTTCGAAAGAAATTTCTTTTTAAAAAGTCTTCATAAGTAATGATAAGTTTTATTTGTAACATAGTAATTACAGCTTAAAACTCTAGTTTTTAACAATGAGTGTAAGTGGACTAAATGCTGCATCTCTACCACAGTGTATCAGTTTGGTAAATATATATTTTCTTACAACCCACAACCTCCTGGCAAACGTAGATTAGTGGTGTATATTATTAGTACCAGGGTACGGGTGGATAACTGTTTGTATATCTTGTGAGGCAAGCCGTGACAGGTATGAATTAGTAACCGGGTATCATCTTGTACCCAGTCACTACAAAACTGTGGTGAATTCATCCCAACAATGCTATAACAGTTAAACAATCCTCGAACGTGTCCATGTTCTTCTTCACCCTACAACTATGTGAATCTTGGGCCTCTTAAGGTACTTTAACTCCAAGGTTCTGAAAATTGGGCATTAGCAGATTGAAAATGCTAACAAAAATATCTCATAATTCTCATAGTCATTTGTTTTTTCTTCAATCTTGATCTTCAACGTTATTGATATTATATAGGGAAAATAAGTACCGGTAAATCTCGAATAAATTTTCTTAAAAATGCAAATAAAACTACCTACTATGCATTTTCAAATTTGATCATTAAAACACATTTAAGAAATAAAAATCTTAGGTATCCAGGCAATTGAATAAATTGCATAATTTTTATACACATAATTTAATTTTAGTTTCTTCTATTGACTTCGACCATTTTACAAAGCATAATATATAGAGATTTCCCTAACATTGCAAAAACACTATAGATCACTTCTAATTTCATATCATGTTAGAGAACCTCAAGCTCTTTAAATATTTAATTTTAAAAAAATTCGAATTTTATAAAACTTTTCTGAAAGCCTCAAAGAACCTTGAATCAAACTGAGTGGTATAAAATGAAAACAATTGCATGAAAAGGTTTAGTTTTCATGCTTCAAGACGCCTGAATTAAATTACAAATCAATAGTTATCTTTCCTGACTGAGTATAGGAGTACATTAATTAGTTTTTGTTTTGATTCACTGCATATATTTGATTTTCTTCACTTGTTTATTTCTCCATTGAGCAACAAACAGATTGTCATTTGTATCTGTACACAGTCCATAAGGATAACTTAGTCCAAAGACTATGTAACGGAGGAACTGTCCATCCTGGTCTATGATGTAGACACATTCATTTTTAAAATCAGCTGTAAGGATGTGACTCTGACTGTCTGTTGTGATTCCTCTTGGTTCGAATGGATGGTTATTTGGTGCAGGAGTATGCCCAGTGAACTTGAATCTAAGTTTACCTGCATGATTGACTACTACCACTGCTCCAGCTCTATAGTCAGACACACATATATCTAAGTTTCCGTTTTCAGTAATATTTCTGCAAAAACATCCAGATGAAAAGAGAGGTTTACCTCCATCATCGAACTTAATGATCTGTTTCTGACTGGTACCAGAGTAACGGACAACTTTTGTTTGTACGCAGTCATCATTTTCCATAATAACCAATAGGTCACCGGAAGAGGTACTACATGCAGATCGAGGTTTCCAATTCTGTAGTCTGATCACCTCCTCTATCTTCCCATTCTTCACAATGTTCACAGTTCTATCACTATAATCAGTATAAACTAGATCTCCACTTTTTGTCACTGCTATGTCCTCTGGTCTGCTCCCTGACTTGGTTTTGATTGACTTGAGTAGTGATCCCTGATTGATGCTGTAGAGTTTCATGGTGCTGTCATTTCCACTTGTCCAGATTTCTTCATCACTCAGACAGGCCACGTTATGAAGGTGTCTATACCCTGTATCTATATCTATGGTGCTGACAATCTCTGGTTCATCAAGTAGTTGTTTAACTGAAGGAGAGGATCCAGCTTCTGGTAATTTTTCTGTAGTCTTCAAGCTGTACCCATGTTCATCTGCAGTTAAGGAACTCGGTGATAAAATTCCAAACAGTTGGATAAGATTTTTCCCTTCGATTCTCTCTGGTATAAATCTTGGCAAATATGTTACAAATTTTTGTGGCAGGTTTCTATATTTTGCCACAATAGAACCTGATGTAACTTTCAACAGCTTTGAAATGTCTTTAGAGTTCACATTTTGTTCAACTGCATTGATTTCCTCCTTGATTTCAGATATTCTCTTGCTAATTCCATCCATATGGTTCTGTAGATTTTGTAACTGTGTGATTTTCATTTCATCAACTTCAGCATTGAGTTTGTTGACAATTTTGTCAATTTCTCTGTGCCAGTCCTCTCCATGTTTTGCTATGGCTGTTGAGAGATCTCCATATTCTTTTTTCTAACTGACTCATTCTGTTTTGTACATCAGACGCAATGTCCCGGTATGTTGGGCAAATGGTATCAATTAATTCATTTCTTTCTTTTATAAAAATGTCTTTCCTTTCATCCAGAACTCGCAAGATTTTAGATAATTCATGACCTACATGTTGCTGCGATTCAATGCAGCTAATGCAGATAGGAATTGCACATTGATTACAATACATTTCACATCGTTCTTTGACATGAGAAGTGCATCTTGGGTAGAGAGGGGTAGATTTTCTAAGAGCAAATCTGACTATGTCATGTTTTTGGGATTCGTCAGATACCATATGATCACCAACACAGGCCTTACACATGTTGACAAGACATGTATCACAGTGCATCTGTACCATAGCGGTCTCACACAAGTCACATCTTATCACATCCTGGGCACTGGTACAAGGGTCCATGGTTATATTTTGCCTAAATTGAGAAGAATATTGATAATCGCTCATTATATATCTACATGTATACATTCCAAATCCAATGATTAGGATAATAAGTTAAATCTTGGTGAAGAAAATGAACGGAAATATATGATTTATGAATCTGTTTCCTGAAATTGTAATTTTTGAGATGGTGAATAGCAAATCATGAAATAAAGGAATGACTTTTGACAAAATCTAAAACTAGTTTACCAGTACATTAAGAATATTCCAGAAAAGAAATCGCTTTTCATGACTCCATCTTCACTGATGAACAATATTGTTTAAAATTTGGATGTGCTTTATCTTTAAAATCCTCTGACCTCTCGCTCTGGAGATATTCGGACAGAAAATTTCAAACTTAAAGAAGACTGCTTTGGTTTACTCTGTTTTCCGATCAGTTCAGGGTAGCATATGTTAATGCTTGTTAAAGATTTGACTTATATACTGAAAGGAAAAAGAAACGCAGGAGAGCATAATATTGGGGAAAAAAATTTGATCGCATGACCGAAAATAACGAAAATTTGTCAGATGAGAAATTTAGTTTATATGCACCTTAATCAGTGTTCAGAAGTACTCAACCGTAAAATGTACGACATCATGTAGGGAAAACGCTAAAAGCCCAAAACACGTGCAATTTGATGACGACGAGTTTGTCAGCAATTTTTGTTGCACAATTTGATGCACCTGAGGTATACACATTGTTTTTCAATATTTAGAGTCGATATGAATTTCTTGCAATCTTGGTACAATGTACGGAAGTTCAATGTGGTATGGTTTTCGAATTTCCTTAGAAATAAAAAAGGCAACAACTCAATAACTAAACAGTTCCTTGTGAATTTTACCTCATAAAACTTGTTACCCGTTGTAAGAGAGGACATGGAATGGTTTCCAATCAACTGTGACGATATCGTTAACGCGAACCAGAGTCATGTTACAAGCCGATTATTCGTCCTGCCATCTCTTAAATCGCAATCTTACTACCACAAAAACCGCCTTTTATACAGTAGACTATTGTAATCATTATATTCTCACGAAAAAAAACAATTTCGCAATTTGGCTTTTTGAGACAATCAGCTTACTATTGTGTTCCTCTCACTGGCGCATGCATGTGTCGTATGAATAATTTCCCATGTCCAATATTGCCAGGGTTTAAAAAATACTCACTCTCATGAATTTTATGGAAAGGAGAAATAACACTCATTGAGAGATGTACAGGAGAGACATTGAAGATAACGTTAGCTTTCGATTTTCACTTTTCACTTTTGGGGGGTATCGTCTTATGAGCTTCAATAACACATGAATTATTAGACAAAATCAAATGGGATTTTGGTTATGTCTTTTGAAAGATGATTTTAAAAGTTAGATAGGAATAATGAAAAAAAATTGAAAGAAAAATAAATTTATTCACCTCAAAAGTTTACCCTGCGTTTCTTTTTCCTTTCAGTATCTAAACAGGTCGAGGAAACTATTTTCTGTGACGTCGGAATAAATTTACATTTTAAGTGGGGAACCAACGTGACTGACAAATCGACCAATCAGCTCAATGAGTTGCATTACGGGCTACTACAAAAATACCATACCTGTGTTTTGAAAAAGCAAATATCTTAAATCACTCTCGGAAAAACGTGATGCATTTTTCCAAGCATTTTAAACGCTTAATACGCTATGAACATCATTATTTACTAATTCCATGCTCACATTTATATACAAATGATTTACAATGATTAAAATTAGGGTTTTCTCCACTCCATTGTACAAATCCGTTTGTTGACAGTTTTCCCCCGTGCTGTGCTTTCAGTGAAAAGTCAATTTCATGTGACTATTCCTTGGTTCAAAAACAATCAACTCTGAGGTGTGCTCACGTATTGACATTGTTTACAACGTATACAACTTAGAAATACATGCTAGTCACGTTTTATGATCAATATGCAAATGGGTTTATATGACAGGTAAATTAAAAAAGTGCAACTTAAGATACAAGATACAAGATACAAGATTTTATTAATCCAATTTGGGCCCCCGGAGGAGCAAAAAGATTTACAAATAGAAGGAGGAGGATCCAAATGATAGAACAAACATGATGATGATATTACAAAATTATTACACTTATTATGTTCCCCAAACGAAGTTGGGGAACATATTGTTTTTACTCTGTTTCTTATTATGTTCCCCAAACGAAGTTGGGGAACATATTGTTTTTACTTTGTTAAGGTCTTCCGTCTTCACGGAAGACCTTATAGTGATTCTACTGTTTCTTATTATTATTATTCTTATTATTATTATTCTTTTTTTTGACAAAATTTTGTGCAGGCGATTACTCGAAAACTATTCGGCGGTTTTCAATGAAACTTTCAAAAAATTTGTGTCATTATATGAAGTTGTTACTTCCGAAGAAAAATTTGGAAAATTCGCTTCCAGTGCCAAGTTATGGGCAATTTCCTGATTTTAAAATGCAATTTTGTCGCCCCTTTTTGTCGAAAATGGTTAAAGATATAAACTGGAGACTTATTGGAGACGATAGCTCGTGACTTTCTGGTTTGCAGAATCACCTTTTAATGC